CTTGAGAAGTCGGTTAGCAAAATCTCGTTCGTCTTGGTCGGCCGGAATGTGAGCATTCTTGATCTCAGGGTTGAGGCGATGCTTCTCCATTTTCTCCAAAAGAAATATGCGCAGCTCATCGACGGTATAGATGTCATTTTCCACTCTGTCGATGACCCAGCGCAATGTTAGTGCGGCGTTCAGCTCTAAGTCCCACTCGGTCACAGTGTCCGCACTTAACACCTTGTCGGATTCAGCCACCGCCTTCTTGCTGACATCAATGCCCTCTTGGAATTTGAGTTCGGCGGTGGCTGTCATCTCTTGACGGAGCTTACTCATGGCAACCTCATGAGCCTCACGACATCGGATCAGCTCAGCATCCTTATCGGATCGATCCTTGCGTACAGCTTGAAGCTCAGCCTTCAATCTTGTGAGCTGCTCGTCTTTCTCCTTTGCGACCTCGGCTTTGGCCAGTTGAACCGACAAGAGGTCATGGGCCAGCAGAAGATTCTCTCATTCAGTCTTAAGGGCGCCCACCTCGGTTTGTGCCGCTTTCAACTGGGCATCCTTCTCCGACATAGATGCCTCATAACAAGACTTTTCATCCTCTAAGGAAGCTATCGCGCCTTCCTTCAAACTTAGTTCATGCTGCTTCTCATCCAGCTCGTGAACTCGGCCCCGATAACTTTCCTCGGCCGCGATGAAACTGACGAGTGCTCGTCCCAAGCACCCTCGGGCGTAACTGAACTTCTGATCGTCGGGCAGAGACGCAATCCCGGCGTCGGTCTTCGGATCCCATGACATTAGTGGGACTTTCGTCGCCTTCACCGCCTCGCTGGGGACCCGATGGTTGATTGTGACTTTTGGCACAACGACTGTTTGAAACATAGCGAACCAGGGATCAAACACATCCTCTGGCAGTTTTAGCTCCGCGGCTTTCTTCTCATTCACTTTGAGGAAGGAATCTCTCAGAATGATTTCAGGCTCCTCCTCTCTGTCCTTACCGGCGCCGGTGTCTTGCTTCTTTTTCATCCTTTCCGCCATGTGAGACACGCTAGATCTCTTGCGACGATGAACCACTGTCACGTTGGGCTCCTCGGACACCTCTTGAGAGACTTCCGTCTCAATAGTAGGTTTACCAACCGCCGTCATTATTTGCTGCAGCGGTGCCACCTCAAGTGGCGGGACGTCGGTAACTATTGGTTCGTTCACAATCGCCGGTGCAGGTTCCACCCTTGTTGACGACGGCTCACCGATAGCGCTTTGAGATCGGTTAGGGTTCTTTTTACAGGCCTTGAGGAGGTTCATGCGTCCAGCCATCTCGGTTGATCGAAGATTTTTATTTTTTCCGACTTTGTTCTTCAAATCGAGGTTCGGATTACGTATTCGATGTTCTTCTGCCTCCACAGCATCTCCAAAATCGAAGTATCCCAGCAATGGATAATAGACTGTCATAAAAAATTTCAAGTTACGCCGACATCGTCAACATGAAAGATTAACCAAAGCGAGTAAGAAAGAAGTGTACCTGGTTGGAACAAAGAGTCTAATACTCCGGGGGATAAGCCAGCAAGCTCTAACAGCGAATCCTTCACAAGTCGTTGGTATCGTCGCTTGTTTTGGGAAACTTCAAACAACTTGTCCACCCGATCGTACAGTACACCTTCAAATTTAGGTTCTTTCTTCCCCGTTGGTTTTGCTACAAGGTCACAAAAGTCCACCTGTTAGCGAAAACAAAAGACAAGATATTAATAATCGAAGTGAAGAAAACGATAAACAACTTACAATAACCAGATTTAATAGCCATTGGGATACTTGTCCCATCGGAAAGAAGATCATTAGCAAAGTCGGTGCATTGCCAGTCCCCACCGACCCACAACCATTCTTCCTGAAAACCGTGTAATGTGTCGGGAACTTCCATTATCAATTCGCCAACTTTAACCCTTGGCTGAGGTTTACCGACAATAGAAAAAGTGAGAAGCGGATCTGATACTTGTTTGTCCGGACTCTTCCGAAATGTAAACATGCTCTTCATGTCCGTTGCCGACGGTAGATCCCATTTCTTTTCAGCGAAGAGCACAAGTAATCCGATGATTCGCTTCCATGAGTTTGGAGCAATTTGGCATATCGAAAATTCCCAATCCCGCAAGTATTCAGTGATTATACGCGGCAAAGGGAATCGCAACCCTGATCTTAAGCTCTCAGCGAACACACCGACACATCCAGGTGGTGGACACGTAATCCTTTCACCTGGGTATGGCGCAAATAAATGTACCGACGTAGGGACTCGAATTTTGCTCCGCAGCATGGCAACATCGGCATCTGTTAGTATGCTCGGTTCGCCATGGGATGTAAGTTCAGGGTCCGGCCATCTTCTAATGGGTCGCCTCCAGAATCTCAGGTCGTCAATAGCGTTTTCCTCCACAATTTTGTCCCCCTCAATGTCGTTTAGCCGGATTTTCAAGCGTTCGACGAACACTGGATCCCACCGACTATATTCGGACAACAATTCCATCTCCCCGGAATGGACCATGTTGATCATCATGACATCCAACTCGTCGTCGCCGGAAGATGCCCACGATACGCTCAAGATGTGAAGAAGGAGAATCGAAGTAGATAAATAAAACGAAGAGATAATTCTTACCACGAAAGGAAATTCACAGATCTGTGATGCTTGGAGTACAGTTGCGAAGCGATTGGATTGCGAGAAAATGAAAAATTTGGTTGCAGATAGAAAGCGAAAGTAAAGTAAATTTCAGTAGAAGATTTCCTATTTATACTAAACCCTAAATTTGGTGGTAACCGTTGGGAAAAAGGAGAAATAGGGGCGCGTGGATTAAACGCCTTTAATTCGCGAGTCAACGCGACCTTTGAGAATCGCGCCTTTCAGCAGTGGCTACGTGGCCTATCAAAAGTTACCGTTGCCCCTATCAGTGAACGTTGCAATTAATTGTAATAAATTGCACCGTTTCAACTTTTAGCACCGTTTTTGACAAGTGTGAAGACATCGGAAGGACGACTACAAAAACCGACATGTTCTACTTGCTCGAAATTAATTGTTTCCTGGTAAATCTTCAGCATCACTGCCTGTCTTTTTTCAAGACAACCATTAATGCTGGGGGCCACCTTGTTGACATCGTTTTCAGTAAACTAAGTTAAGCAACACTGATCAAGTGATTATGCACAATAGGAGGAAGATTATGTTCGTGCAAGTGGAAGACATCTTCAAGGATCCCAAAACAATCACATATTGGGTGAAAATTGATCAAGAACCGACATCACCATCAACTGACCGATATCTCATATCGGTTATGACATGTCGGTTACAACATGTCGGATATGACATATCGGTTATAACTACACGAGCCGATATCCATGACTTACTAAACCGACACCATAAGGCGGTGCCAACTCAGCACAACTCATCATTATGTCTGGCCAAGTGGCATGCTACTAAGATGAATGGCAATTAGCCGCCGTTGACTATTCTCATGTAATGATTATGTTGCTGATAAGTATTGTAAGTTGATATAAAAGGAGAAAATAGATTCTCCAAAAAAACACGAAAAATATACAATAAATTCCAAAAAATTCTGCTTCGTTCAGACTTTCATATGTTCTTTGCTAATCAATCTTGAACACACGACGAACTTTTCATTATCATATAGTTGTTAATTACCGTATTACAACAGTTATTTCGGGATGAACTTGGGAGCTGGATCGAGGGTTTCATTATGAATATTGGGTTTAACACCATTACGGGCGCCGAACTTTGGGGACTTTTTCAGGGGTTAAAGAGGGCCTGGGAGTTAGGATTTCGCAAAGTTATTGCGGAGATTGACAGTCAATGCGTCGTTTCAATGGTCCATGGGGCTGGCAGGCACTTTGTTGAGCACGATACTATCATCAGGGCCATCAGGGAATTGGTCCATCGGGCTTGGCGTGTTAGGATCCAACATGTGCACAGAGAGGCTAACTTTGCAGCAGATCATATGGCGGGACTTGCTTCCTCATTCCCGTTAGGTTTGACAAGGGTCATGACTCCTCCACCGGGGCTCGGAGCTTGGCTTGATCACGATGTTCAAGGAGTTTCTCATCCACGTCGAGTGTTAGCTTCGCGTGTCTAGGCCTATGGCCTCCTTCCTTTGTACCGAAAAAAAAAACTGCAAGCAATAATAAAATAAAATACAAGTAAGCAATTTATAATAATAAACACGAGAATTCATATAAATCGAAAGAGGCGCTACAGTATTCACCTGCATTTGGCTCCGACTCTAAGCTAACCACTTGCCAAATAGATCTACACTTGACTAACGTCCCACAAATGCAATTACCCGACAACAAAAGAACAAGTATGTTTGACAGAAAAAATTAAAATAAAAAACAGAACATAATTTTAGAACATATGAATTTATCATACTTAGGCCTCGGGTTTGGGCACGGTCTCAATAGGGGCATAATCAACACAGTCGAAGGACTACATAGGATGGGCAGAAAAACGACATTTTTTTTTCTTTTTTTTTTTTTTTTTTGCAGATAAGTTACATTGAAAAAACATAGAAAAACAGAAAATATGTACGAAGCTTGTCAGAAAAATTAGATGAAGAAAAGGGAAAAACCTTGGCAGCAAAATAGGAAAAACCATGGAACAATGGGGCAAAAAAGAAGAAATGATTTTATAAGTGCTTCCACTTTGATCAGCTAAATACAAGGATATCATTGTCAGAATTGTTAAAGATACGATATTCATGTTTTCACATCAAGAAAGATGCAGAACAAGGTAGCATTTACAAGGCGAATTTTCATAGGGCATATGCAAATGCATTCTAACAAGAAAGACGGGTTCCAATTAAATGACTCAAAAAGTATAAAATAGAGTATACAAGATAACAACAAATTAAAAAATTATGACAAAAGTTCCAGAGCTTAATTATCCAAAAGACTGTCTTTATTACATTACAGTCCAGGAAACAACAAAGATTTTACAACCATGAGCTTAAAATAAAATAGGCTCGTTTTCACAATTAATATACCTCTTTGTTTTCGCACTCTGATTTCCCAACGAGCTGAACTCCACTCTCCACACAAGGAATGAACGTCTTGTAAGGATCCTTACGATCACTAGTGATATTAAGACGCTTAGCCTCTCGAGTGTCAAGGCAAAAAATGATTAGGTATTCACCCCTGCATTTAAAAAGCAGTTCATCTTTTGTCCAGAACCCTAATGGCTCAACAGCACTAGGAACACAAATTGTGGATACCTCCTCCCATGAACCATCATGACTTCTCAACCATACTTCAAAAAATATATTCTTTCCGAAACCTGGGTAAATTATAGCTGCAAGCGACCCATCCCGCTCGGCAAGATGCAATTTCCGTGCACGGTTAGCAGAATCAGGAAGATCAACAAATGAGAACTGTTTACTAGCAAAGTCAAAGGTAAGAAGTCGCATCCTTTTGTTTTTCATCTGCGCCCTCCAATAAGGTACCCCATTTACAGTAGCTACAACATAGGTGGTTAATCGGCAATCAAAACAACGGTGATCGGATAATTCCTCCCAAGAATCGGACTTTAGGGAGTATAACTCCACGTGATTAGTCACGTGAGTTTGATGACCATCGT